GCCGATGGGAGGCGGCCCGCCGCCGCCGCCGGGCATGGGCATGATGCAGACGAAGAAGAAGATCAAGCCGTCTGTGCCGATGAAAGGCTTTCACTGGCGGGCGCTCAAAGCGCGCAACATTCCCAACACGGTGTGGACCAAGATCGACGACGAAAAAGTGGAGCTTGACGCGAAGAAGCTCGAGGAGCTGTTCTGCAAGAACGAGTCGGGCAAGACCAAGTCGAAGGACAAGGCCGAGTCGTCGAAGCCGAAGAAGATCTCGCTGGTCTCGATGAAGCGGGCGAACAACGTGGGCATCATGCTCGCGCGGTTCAAGATCGACCCGGTGGCGCTGCGCAAGGCGATTCTTACGCTCGACCCGGTCGTTCTCACGCCCGACATGGTACGTGCGCTGCAGACTGCTGCACCGCTGCCAGAAGAGATCGAGGTTCTCAACGCGTTTGACGGCGACCGGTCGCTGCTGGGGCCGGTCGAGGTCTTTATGTTTGAGATGCTCTCGATTCCACACCTCGGGCAGCGGTTGGCGGCGATTGAGACCAAGCTTCGCTTTGAGACGGAGATTCTCGAGCTCGAAGAGTCGATCGGCGTGGTGGGTGATGCCGTGGAGGAGGTGCGGTCATCCAAGGCGTTTGTCAAGGTGCTGGAGGTTATTCTCGCCATCGGCAACTATCTGAACGGCTCGACATCGCGCGGTGGTGCGTTCGGCTTCCAGCTCGACGCGCTGCTCAAGCTGCCGGCAACTCGGGCAACTGGTAAGCAGATGACGCTCATTCACTTTTTGGTGGAGTTCCTCCAGTCGCGGCACCGCGAGGCGGCCGAGTTCTACGAGGGACTTGCGCTGTCGGAAGCCGCGGCGCGGGTCTCGATGTCGGACGTGGGCGGTAAGCTCAACAAGCTCGGCGCGCGAGTGGCGGCTGTGGCCAAGCTTGTGACGTCGCAGCGCGAGGCCGGCGGTGGGGTGGAGCAGGGCGATTGCTTTGTGTCTGTCTTTTCACCGTTTGCTACTCGGGCCACGTCGCGGATCGATCAGGTCAAGGCCAACCTCAAGGCTGTCAACGACGGCTTCCTCGAGATGGCAGTGTTCTTTGCCGAGAAGCCGAAGCGGACATCTGTCGAGTCGTTCTTTGGCACGATTTGGGACTTTTGCTGTCTGTATAAGAAGGCCAAGGGCGACATCGAGCGGGAGCGGCTGGTGGCGGAGCGGGCGCGGAAGCGTGAGGCCAAGGCGGCCAAGTCGGACAAGGCCAAGAAGAAGTCCAAGGTGAAGAAGGAGAACGAGGAGGGCCTTCTTGACAACCTAGTCGAGTCGCTCTCGTCCGGCAAGTACCATACCATTCGCCGAACGCTGCGGACCGGCAAGAAGAAGGGCGGCAAGAAGGTGAAGAAGGTCAAGAAGGGCGCCAAGGGCAAGGAGTCTAAGGACGGCAAGTCGTCCAAGAAGAAGAAGGTCAAAAAGGTGAAGAAGAACGCCAAGGCCAAGGCTGCCGAGTAGTGGCGAGATGTCGAGGCGTAAACCGAGAAGGCAGCACTTGTCTCTGGAGCACACACATTGGTCATGGCGAGTGTCGACGAGCGAATGGCGGCGTTTGTGGCGGCACTGGGCGAGTGTGTCGCGCTGGTGCCACCAACCGAGCGCGGACGAGCGAGTGAGGCAAGGCGCGAGGCTCAACTGGGGTGTTTTGCCCGCGTCCTCGCTCCAAGCAGCGAGTCGGGGCGAGACCAGGTGAAGGACTGGCAGTTTGCAGCCGCGGACCGAGCGTGGGCGGCGACGCTCGAGGTGCTCGCGAGGTGTCGTGGAAAGAGCGACGGCGGCAGTGCGGGAATCGTGTCGGTGACAGGGCTTAGCAATGGTCTTGATCCACGGGTCGCATGCGAGCTTGACGGTGCATGCGGGAGCGCTGTCGAGGCGTGGACGACGTGTGCAGAGGCGTATGGCGCCGGATGTTGGCGCGAGGCCGACTCGCTTCGCGAGTGCTGGATCAGGCACCTGGTGATGTCTGCTGTTGCGCTCGGGGCAGAACCGGAAGAGCTGGGCGCGGTTGAGGTGAACGGACTGCCGCTGGTGGACGAAGAGTTTGGCTGAGGATAGGGACATAGAGTTTGCAAAGGGTGCGTGTGTAGGAGGGAGAGGGGGGAGAGCTTAGCAACGGATCTCGAAGGAGCCGGCGCGGGTGACGGAGCGAACGCCCTTGAACGGGGTGTAGTCCTCGTTGCGGACGGTGAGGGTGGCGACCTTGAGGTTGGAGATGGCGTACGAGGGGAGGACAAAGCTGAGCGAGACGTTCGGGTTGGACTCGGGGATGGTGACCGAGTCGCTGACCGGAAGGACGAGCGAGCCGGTGAGCGTGGGTGTCTTGGACTGCGGGATCTTGCCGACGGTCCAGGTTGCGGTCTTGGAGATCTCGTCGTAGACGACCTTGCCGTGGTTTGCAGAGAGGTCGGCGGAGGAGATGATCTTGGGGAAGGGGATGGTGACCGAGACGTCTGCGACGCGGACGTCCTCGGAGAGCGGCTTGGAGCCTACCATGATGTTGACGTTGGCGTAGCCCTCGGAGAAGGTGATCTGCGGTTTGCAGTAGAGCGGGAGCTGCGACTGGTGGTGGACGCGGTAGGTCATGAGCTCAAACTCGCCGTCGGGCGGAATGAAGGAGATGATGCGGTCCGACTCAAAGGTGGCGTAGCGGACGCAGGGGTGGAAGGCAACATCGTCGAGGATGCGGGGATTGGCGAAGACAAGGTTAAGGTCGGGCATGCCCGAGAGCTTCGAGTTTGCCATGATGCGGCCGGAAATTTCAAAGGTGGCCGGGATGCCGTTAGCCTCGATGATAGCATCGATCTCCTCGACAATGTCAAAGAACATCTCGTTGTTGGAGTACTTGACGCCGGCCTTGCGCCACGGCACGTTGGTGAGGGTGCCGTCCGGGAGGACGGTGGCAACGCCCGAGGCGCCGGTCATGCTCTTCATGACCCGGGCCATGGCGGTGGGCGGGCGGATGAGCTCCTTGAGTACATTGGGCTCTGTGGTAAGCGGGACACCCGAGTCCATCATCTCGTCGAGGAGCTGGTAGACGACGACAAAATGCTGCTTGGCGGTTCTCGCGTTGGCGCGGGAAGCGCGTTGGTCCTGTCACACACCCGATGCAGGAACTCGATGACCAGCAGCGGCGGCGTCTCGTCCTTGATAACGGCCAGGAAGAACATGTCCTCGCGCTGGACGTGGACAAGGTAGAAGGAGGAGGTGGCCAGAATGGGCAGCACGTCGGCAGGCGAGTCGGCAGCATTCACCTCTTCCCAGAACGTCTCGCACACCGTCCGCGGGATGGTGCCCTGGTAGTGCTTCTCAATGATGATGTCTCTGTGGTTTGGGGGGGAGAAGGGG